AGGTCTGCATGCCCATACCCTCCCCAAAAATCCCACCTCCTCTGCCCGTCCCACAACATCACATGATCTTCTGCCAGTCACGTGAATGCAGGAAGCTGCCTTACACTGAATCAGACCCTTGGTCCATAAAAGTCAGTATTGTCTACTCAGCGGCTCTCCAGGGCCTCAGGTGGAGGTCTTTCACATCACCAACTGTTTGACATCCTTCCCATTGGAGATGCTGGGGACTGAATGTAGGACCTAACATTCTTAATGATATGTCCCCTCAGGGGTCGTTTCGTAGAAAAAGAGCTAGGGGAACTCATTAGCACAACTCATTAGCATATGCCACACCCCCTGACATCACCGGAAGTGTGTCATAAGGCCACACCCCGGACCTGCAAGGCCGGCGGGAGTGCAAGGAAGCCCCGCGAAGGCCCTCCCTGGCCCCAGGCAGGCAGGGGTGGGGAGAGGCAGGGAGGAAGCAACTTACCCTCCCTCTTCTCCTGCCTCCTCCTGGCTGAATGAGGGCCGGAAGCGGGGCGGCCGGAAGCAGGGGGCGGGGCTTCGTCATGTGCCCCACCCCCCGTACCTCACCCGGGGGAACTGAGATCCCCCGCGATCCCCCCCGAAATGACCTCTGTGTCCCGTCTCACACGGTAGGATATTGTAATTTTTAAAAAAAATTTATTTATCTTTGGATTTGTATCCCGCCCTCCCCGAAGGCTCAGGGTGGCTCACAAGGGGCACGAGTGCCCAAGTTAAAACATTAAAACAATACAGTAAAATATAAAATACAATAAATACAGTTCGCTAAAAATTTCTTTACGGTGCTCCAGAAATACTTAGCTATAAAATTCAAGACGGGGTTCTAGAATTATACTAGAAACAACAAACAGCAGTGATAACAATATATAACAGCGACACTATACATCCCTACAGCGTTGTCCTCTGCCAGGAACATCTCACGCCCCCCAATAGCACCCGCTCTGAAGATGGTCTATTTGCGGGAATAAAGAGGGGGGGGCGTAGATGGAATGATGGTCATAATGGTGGCGTAAAGATGGCGGCTCCTACTGAAAGACCTGGCGGAAGAGCTCTGTTTTACAGGCCCTGCAGAACTGCACCAAGTCCCACAGGGCCCGGATCTCTTCTGGGAGCTCATTCCACCAGGTAGGAGCCACCACCGAAAACGCCCTGGCTCTAGTAACTGCAAATTTGATGTTTCTGGGGCCTGGAATATCCATCTGTTACCGGGCTACTGCATGATGCCATGGAGAACAATAGTGAAACAGAGGCACCCTAATGACCTCTGTGGAAGAGAGCTGTGTTTGATTTAAGCAGGTGAGTGGACAACTCTGTCCATGACATACCACACACAGGTCTTTCGAGTGTGCCAGAATTAGTTTTTGGCGCCTTTGGTGTTCTTTTCCCTGTCATCTTTATTTTTGTTAGTATCATACTTAAAAGGTAAAGGTTCCCTTGCTCGAAAGCCAGTCGAATCCAACTCTAGGGTTGCGGTGCTCATCTCCTTTCCAAACCCGAAGAGCCAGCGCTGTCCGAAGACATTTCCATGATCACGTGGCTGGCATGACTAAACACCAAGGCGCCCGGAACGCTGTTCCCTTCCCACCGAAGTGGTACCTATTTATCTACTTGCAATGTCTTGCTTTCGAACTGCTAGGTTGGCAGGAGCTGGAACTAGAGACGGGAGCTCACTCTGTCATGCGGCGCACTCGGGTCTCGAACTGCTGACCTTCCACAGCCTGGAGTTCAGCGTCTTAACCACTTCAGCCACCGCAGCTCCTTACTTACAAAACTTCAATTGCCACATAAGGACCTGAACTCAACATTTAAGCCACACTCGATTTCCCCTTAACGTTTTAATTATTATTTAAGCAACAAATTCCTCTTGGAGCGCAAGTAGTTTTGTCGCTGCCGGCTCCTCAACAGAACGGGGGCCGCTTTTTAATTTTTATTTCAGTTCCCCAAATAAGTCAAAATAAAACACGTCAGTGTTCTGGTTCAGACGGTCCCGGACAACCTGCACCCACAGACGGGCACCTCCTCGGCTTCCCAGGTGGCGCCGCCTTGCCAACTCCCGGTTGGGAAATTCCTGGAGATCTGGGGAGTGGAACCTGGGCGAGGGACCTCAGCGGGGGTATAATGTCAGAGACTCCCCGCTCCAAGGCAGCCGTCGTCTCCAGGGGAACTGATCGCCTGGAGACCGGCTACGATTCCGGGAGATCTCCAGGACCCACCTGATAATAATAATAATAATTATTATTATTATTATTATTATTATTATTATTATTATTGCATTAGCAAAAAAGCCATAGCAACTGTACAGGAGGGCGGGGTATAAATAAAATTAAATAAATAAATAAATAAATTAAAAAACAACAACACACACTTAAAAGGTCGACAGTTATCAGCAGTAAACTAATAAAACTCAGGGAGATTTGTTTTCTTAATCACCGCAGCTACAAAGGAAGCCCCCCCCCCAATAAAAAGGCCCAGAAGGAAACTCATATGGGGAACTAGCCCCACCGCCCCAGCTCAGGTCCAGGGAGGGGATTCCGGGAGTGGGGGGCGCACGGCAAACACTTCCTCGTGCCCCCCCCCCCCCCCCCCCCCCCCCAATGGCTGCGCCTCAAAATGCCCTTACTACGGCACCCCCTCCTTCCCCGAGCTCCCTGATTGGACAGCCACGCACCAATCACGGAGCGGCCTTTCCCCAAGTCCACGCCTGTCCTCCTCATTGGCTGCACCGCCCTTCGCGTTGATGGTGCCGGGTTCCCCCCGCCTCCCCTCCGGCGTTCCGCCCCTTTGTCCTTTCCCCGCCTCTTCCTTATGTCGTCACCACAAGAGACATAAACAGAGCGCTCTTTATAGGAACTTCCGGTGACAGGGGCTTTTCTCTCGCTCTTAGAAGTTGAAACGGGAATATGGCCATAGAGATGCCACGTCCTGGAGCGCCGCCCCCCATTAGGTTGACAGAGGGCATTCAGAGCTTATCACTATAGCCCTTTCCCGGTCCCCCTCCACGGCCTTTTGCTTTTTCCCTGCTTCATACTGTTTTATTGTTATAATCTGGCATAATGCCTCTGTTAGCCGCCCTGAGCCTTCTGGGAGGGTGGGATATAAATCCAAATAAATAAATAGAGCACAATCCTAGACAGTCTAGCTCAGGCACAGAACCCGGAAGTCCAGTGTGGAGAAGAGATCCAGGTGCCAGCATGAGACCTGGTTCTAGAGCCCCAAATCCCACTGCCTTGTGTACTGAATGTCCCACCCTGTTGATTGTATTGCCTCACTGGGGATTCCAGTAAGAAAGGTAAAGGTAAAGGTTCCCTTGCTCGAAAGCCAGTCGAATCCGACTCTAGGGTTGCGGTGCTCATCTCCGTTTCAAAGCCGAAGAGCCAGCGCTGTCCGAAGACGTTTCCGTGGTCATGTGGCCGGCATGAATAAACACCAAGGCGCACGGAACGCTGTTACCTTCCCACCGAAGTGGTCCCTATTTATCTACTTGCAATTTCTTGCTTTCAAACTGCTAGGTTGGCAGGAATATGGTGGACCTATATAAATGAGAAGGGCAGGAGGACAGACAATTGTGACTATTATTCCCCCCTGGAAAAGCGCCTGTGCTTTTAACAGCACCAATTCAGGAAAAAAGCTCAACAAGTGGAGCTTTCCTTATCTGAGCACTGCCTGACAGGTAAAGCCGCACCTGTTGAATTTCAGGCCACCCCATTCCAGAGAGGCAGCCAGGTTGGTGCCACAACTCCCTTTGGGTGTTGCTTCAGCTGCCTAACATGGCAACCCCCTTCTCCAGAATTTAGCACCAGAGAATCCACTGGTTGCACCTGTGGGCACTATTGGACTTCTGAGAACAGGGTTTGTGTGCCACCACAAAATGGCTGCTGACTGACACCTTCTCATATTGTAGTGGCTGCTGTTTCAGAATGCCTTTTCCCTCCAGAGAGAAAGGTGCTATTTCCTGGAACCATTTCTGAAACACCTGTCACTTTGATCAGCCAGCAGAAAGCCGGGATATATTTTCTGCTTTGGGGAGGAGAGACACTTTGGAGAAGAGGGAAGCGGGCACCAAGAAACACATTGGCAGGTGCTGATGTTGGGGATCTCTGTCCTCAGCCTTCCAAATAGCAGCTGTTGGTCCCCAAGAATGAGAAACAAAAAGCTAGTGAAACGAGGCACTTTTATTGAACTAAGCTCTTTAAAGCATCACAAACTTTTCATCAGGCATAAGGATTTAGAGCACAAAATACAAATAATCTTGTTTTACATCTCGGTTGCTGGATTCTCTGACTGTGGGCGCGGCTCCTCAGAACAGATTTAGTCTTGGCCAGCTCAAAGACAGAAAAGGCTGAGAGATCAGCTCCTGAATTAAAGTAAGACAAATCTGGGGGGGAAATGTAGCTAATGAAAAAAAAAAAACCATAACAGGAAAATAAGACATATTTTCTTCAGCTTTAATTTCATTCAGTTTCATAAGGTCTGTCAACAAAACAAAGTCGCAGCATATTTCATTCTCTTATTTGCTTCTAACCCAGCCAAGGCAGTTCTGCATCTACTTTTACATCTCTCTGCCCTCTATAACCTTCTCTTTTTACGTGCCACCCTGGAGAAGCGGGCAGAGGCAGCTGCCAGAGAACCCACTGAGGAAGGCCTCTCAGTACATAGATGGCTTCTCTTCCCCCTTGGGGTTGGTCAGTTTCTCCAGGTTTTTGCTCAAGATGTGGTAGAGCTCAGCCTGCAGCGAAACAAAATGGGGGATATTAAGAAACGACTCTCTCTTTCCTCCCTCCCTCAAGCCAACTGCCCTGGGCCCAATATACTCACATAAAACCCACGGATATCGAGCACCATCATCTGGATTTCCCTGTAAATAGCCTCATCTCGTTCATGAACGAGACACCGATAATCCATCTGGAACAGATTAAGAAACGCCTAAGGACCCCGCTTCAAGGGCCTTAGCTATCTCCTGGTGAACATCCCATTCTAGGACTCATGCATCACAGCCAAGAAACCTGGGGGAAAACTTCAGAGCCATCACTCCCCTGTGGATTTTCGGTTAGGCTTTGGAGTGAGACAGGTTTGACTCCTGAGGGAGTGGAACATCTGCTACGTACCACGTGAGTCTCCTTAGAGGCCTTAGCCACTGCTTCGCCACGCTCTGAGAAATACCTGGAAAAGAGAGCAGTGTTGGGGATCACAATGCATACAGCAAGAGAGTCTGTTGCTAGACTTTTATCTGCCACTGTGGTCCCCAACTTCTTTGAGCCGGTGGGCACATTCGGAATTATGACAGGGTGGTGGGTGCAGCCACAAAATGGCTGCCACAGGAGGTTGAAGCTATCCACAAAATGGCTGCCTCGGCTTACGATGGTGCCCGCTGACACCTTTCTGGGCAGCCGCCAAGTGTTTTTTGAAAGTGAGTGGGGGTCACTAGCCAAAGCTTCTGATTGGCCAATGGAGATTTGATTGGCTGTGCAAATTTTTAAAGGATGTTACTTTGGCAGCAGCTGCCACCACAGCGCAAGAATCTTCACTGGGTGACTAAAGGTAAGCTGTGGCAGCCATTTTGTGCCGGCGCCCACCACTGTGTCAGAATACCAAAGCTGCCCGCTGGCTCAGAAAGTCTGGGGACCGCTGCTCTACGGCATTCATTCGTTTTTGTTACCAGATTAATTTAGTCACCACCTTTCTGTTTAACAAACAGCCAAGGCGGCTAATGATCAACAAACCATACAATGCACTGGCTGATGACAGTTAAAACCGTCAATCAAAACGCAGTTAAAAACTGAGGCAAAATATGAGCTTTGTTCAAAGTCTGTCTGCGATAAAGAGGTCTCTGATGGATGCCAAAGAGATGTAAAGACTGTGCCTCTTGGGACAATGGGTGTTCAGAATATGGCCGCTGAAGAGACCCTCATAATGCCAACGGGACTTCAGACAACATGGGATCTTATCGCACGGGATCCCCAAGCCTGGACTCCATTCGAACGCAGAACCCATTGGTTTCATAGATGTGGAGATAGCCATTCCGATCCTTGGCACCCAATCCTAAATGGAATCCTAAAGTGTAAAGAGATGATGCAGGCACAGCAGAACGCCAACAGCATTACCCACTGTGTCCTTGGCATAAGAATGTCTAGAGCAGGGGTGTCGAGAACTCATTTGTTTCGAGGGCCAGATCTGACATAAATGAGACCTTGTTGGGCCGGGCCGTGTGTGTCATGAAATGTAATGCCAGGTAGCGGAGATATGAACTTTATAAAGGACACAAACACAAAGGTTTTTTTTTACTTAGAATAAAAACATGCTTAAAACATTACTCTTGCAATATTTTGTTTATTTAGCAGTCTCTGAGAACTGGCACCTCTAAATTATTGCATCAAAATGTCTGTGCTATTGCAATGTTGAGTATGCTGTTCAAGTGTGTCTCTGTAAGCTGCAAACCTACTTTTGATTTATTGACATTCGCCACAGAAATCTCATGCTCAGAGTTCTGAGTCTAGGACCCAGGAGAAAACATGAAATGGCTGAGCGACTGAGAGAGTCTGGCGAAGCAAGCTATGGATGCAGCAGCAGCAACAGAACTGGAAACAGGAGATGGCCAGTTCCGCTGCGGGCCTGAGAGAAGCCCTCTGGGGGCCTGATCCTGCCCCCGGGCCGCATGTTTGACACCCCTAGTCTAGAGGGGTATATTACCCACAGTACTCAGCAGTGTTCTTCCTACAGCCCCCATTCCGCTACAACCCGCTCTAGCCTCTTACTTGGCGATGGTGGTCTGGAAACCTTCCGCCTTGGTCTTCAAGGCCACGATCCGCTCCAGGACTTTTTCCTGTCGGAGGAAACCGGCGGTAAAGAGGTATGCGTGATTGACGGGCAGGTGAGACACGTTTCACAGATGACTGCCCTTGGCACCTCTTACCTGAATAGCCATCCCGAAATCGTTGCCGTCTTCTATTTTGGGGATCATGTACTGAATCCAGGTAGCAACCTGACAGGGAATGAAGGGGAGGGGGATGAGGCACAGAAGCCGGGTTGTCCACCAGTGAGCCGCAGAGACAGCTGTGGAGACGTTTGCCCGTCTAAGGACACGAGGAGTGGGGCGGGGCACGTTGCCAACTCACCAAGACGCATTTCTCTCGGAACTCCCGGACTTCAGGTTTGACCCGGTCCAAAAGGGACACGATGGACTCGTTGCCCTTAAGGTAGCCACATTTGGGGGCTGGGAGCAGGGAACAGAGTGGTGGTAAATCCACAGAACTTAGAGAACATAACATAAGAGACGCCAATGTTGGATCAGGCCAAAGGCCCATCCAGCCCAACACTCTGTGTCCCACAGTGGCCAGAAATACCAGGTGCCATCAGGAGGTCTACCAGTGGGGCCAGGACATTAGAAGCCCTCCCACTGTTGACCCC